CATTAAAGGTAAGTCATTAATAAAAAGAGAAAATAAAGTGGTCCTTAATTATACAAGACATTAAAAGGCTGAGTGTTTTGCTTCTGCAGCACACTCACTTTGTGAGAATAAACGTTTTAAGACCAGTGTGAACTGTTCCTCTGTGGAAATTACAGCTCAGAGATAATCCCTTGCACTCACCAGTGCAGCTCAGTGCTGTGAGACGGGTCCGTGGGCACCTTTTGACATCTTGGTGCTAGTCCTACAACCGAAGCCAGATTGCAGGCTCTCGGTTTGCACACACAGCTAGTTGCTTTTGTTTTGTTATTGACGGGGGACACTTTCAAAAGTCTCAGGTGAAAGCACTTAACAGCTAAACCCCATTGATTTTCTGTAAAAATAGGGCGTCTTGGTACTCCGGACTAACATCTGAATACATGTTGGAAATTGGAGCATAACAGGATACAGCCAAAAGAGCACAGAGGGAAGCCAGACCCCAACCCTCAGCATTCAGGGCTGGATGCTGCTGTAACGAGGACGGTGGCAGGGAGAGAGGGGCACTGGCACACACACACACGTCCACTTTGGGGTGGCATCAGCAGAGGGCTGACCTCCAACTGGGAGGACAGGGCAGAGGGTGAGAGCAGCACCCTGCCCCTCCTGCTCCCAGGGAAATCCACACCCTGCTTCAGCAACAGAAACCACGCAGGGAAGGCACATTTTCTACAAATCTTCATATGTAGGGCTTCCTTTACCATGTAACTAAAGGTGGAGACACTCCTTGAAGTCCAAAGTGCTATAGGAAAACCACAGATTTAGGCTTTTAGGAACTGTCACCATTTTTGCCTGCAAAAATACTTCTTCCCAGCAGAAAAGCAACACTCTCTTTGCTGTGTATTCCTGGCTCCTCCTGTAACCCGCAGCTTCCAGAACAGCAAAGCTACCATTTGGAGAATAGGAGTCCTCTTTCGTTCCTCACCAATGAGCCAGCCTTGTGCTGTGCTGTGGCACTGGACTAGGAGAGGCATTCCCAGGGAGCAGCAACCCCTGAGGGACACAGGCAAGCCTTCAGTAAGTAAAGGATCAGAATCGCCTAGGCTGGAAAGACCTTCAAGATTATCAAGTCCATCCATTGACCTGACCTACCGAGTCCCACCACTAAACCCTGTCCCTCCGTGCCACATCCACACGTCTCTTCAGCACCTCCTGGCATGGGGACTCCATCACCTCCCCAGGCAGCCCCTTCCAATGCCTGACCGCCCCCTCCAGAAAGAAATTCTTCCTGATATCTTCAAGGAGAAAGCTTTCGAGCAAAGCCATAACACGGAGCCATAACACATAACCATGGTTTGATGCATGCCGTGCACAGCACTCATCAGGTGTCCTCAAGTCACCATCATTTGGGAGCTGTGGAGCAATGAGTGTGTGTAAAGGGTTTACAATAAGAAAGGTTAAGAGTGCACAGGAATATCTGTGAGATGCTTGCACTGATGATAACCCTTCTCTGCCCACAGAACCACCTCTAAGTGGAGTAACTTTGCATCAGCTTGCTTTTGAGGGCTTGAGTCAGGTAGGCTGGGGATCTTTCCCCTGGGGGTGGTGGAGCACGAGTTCTCCAACAGAAACAAATTAAAGAAAATTTCCAAGGAAACATGAGAGGCTGTGAAAAAATGTTGGTTTGTGTGGAAAAATTTTGCCTTATTTTTCCTGAAAAACAAAATGCTTAAAACCAGAAGTATTTTGTCTAAACTCCTCAGTTTTTCAATATTTGATATTTCTGAACTATAAAAAAAGAACTTTTCTTGGAACTGTGGATCAAAAAATCTCCCTGAAATGGATTTCCTTGTAGTTCTCATTTTAATTGTCTGCTTTATTATGGTATTATTACTAGTTTTCCTTGTTTTTTAAAGAAACAAACTGTTCAGCACTGCAGTTATACCAAGATTCAGAAGACCTCTGTGTTGTTGATTTAGCCTTTAATCACGTGGGCTACAGTTTTCCACAAAGCCTCAGTGCTGGGGAGCCATCAGTGAAGGCTTTGCCTCATGTAGCCAAATTGGCCAGGAATTAATTTGTAAAGAAAACATGAGGGGTTTAACCATGTGCATGTCCCAGATCAGGAATCTACAACTTAATCAACTGGTTTTCTTTCTGTAAATGCCAATAGAATATTTGCTACATATGAAAGGATGCTAATAAACTTTACAAGATGAAATGTGATTCTTCCCATGGAGCACAGGATCTGCCCCCACTTTGCACTTTGTGCTTTGCAGCACGGTAGAACAAGACACACAGGGTATATTGAAATTAGTCTGCAAACTGGAGGGGTGTTTGGGTGATTTCCTTGCATGAAGGCACCCTCTCTTCGGTGCCTGCTAAATCTTCCTTGCCAAACATTATTTACCCCTGAAGCTAACAAAAATACTTTGAAGAGCAAGTCTCAGCGTACCAAGTGTTAAATATTTCACATATGCAGGGATAGCCTTCACATTAAAAGATGTCTCCTTTACCTCAAGGTAATTAACACATTTGAACTGTCCTGGGGTGAAAAAAAAAAAAGAACACAAAACAAAACAGAAAAAAAAAAGTAACATCGAGTAAAGACCAGCCACCTGAATTTAACTGTGAAGTACATGTATGTTCATCAGCATAACCCCAGGAGAAAAAAAAAGAAATAAAGGGCTGGTGTTGGTGAACTTCCTCACAGCAGAAGTCCAGATTCCCTTCGTTATGTACAAGCTTTGCTGAACTCAGAAATCGTCTTTCCTAGGTGAATATAAGAAAAAAAAAAAAAAAAAAAAGAGAAAGAAAGAAAAAAAAAAGAACAGATGTAGGAGCCTTGATGAGGGCATTTTCCCCCGCTACATGTACACAAACCAGCAAGAGATGTGCAGCCCCAGGGGACCGGTCAGGACGAGCAGGACCAGCCACCGCAGGATGCAGCAGAGCAACACCTTCATCTGTTCCTTTTCCAGCGGCACAGCATGGAAACCAGCCCGTGCCAACTCACCTCGTGTGCTCAGTTATTTCGCCTGCCTGCCTCCCCCAGCAGCACGCTTCCTGTTCCTCGGGAGCAATCAGCCAGGTGAAAGGAGCACATTTGTTAGGGAGTCCCCTGCTAAAATACCAGCAGCCTGTGCTGGCTGCTTTTCAGATCAACTTCCTTTCCCACCTCTCACCCCCAGCCTTTGAAACACTAGGGAACGATTCACTTGCAGACACCGCTGTATCTCCGTTCTTATTATTTTTAAAGACTTATTCCTGTCCACCTGTGGAGCAGTACTGGAATCGGACTGGATGGCAGAGCCGAGGGCTGGGGACTGTGGCAAATACTCAGAATATCAGGCTGTGAGCCTCAGGCTTTCAAGTGGAGCAACTTTGCATTAGTGCAGCATATTCCGCCACGGCTGAGAAAGAAATCAGGTGGGAAACCAAATAAATCATCAAGGCCCCGTCTGAGCAGCCCGATGTGGTTCTTGGAGCAGGACATCCAGCAGGTGGATGAGGACCTCCTGGAGCTGGGTCTGCAGAGCAGCTCTGGAGGCCACAGCAGTGCCGAGCATCGCTGGAGCCTCGGTGCCGAGCGGCTGATCAATGGGGCAGCACTACTGCCTGTATCGCTGCCAGGCAATTACTGGAGCTGTGCTTGGCAGCATTACTGCAAGCTGCTCTGCGGAGCGGCGCTGGTATTTGTATTGCTGCCGTTCCATCAGCGAAGTGGCACTGGAGTCTGTCTCCCTGACAGCTGATCAATGAAGAGGAATATAATAATCATAATGTGGTGTTTTACAGGATATGGGCCTTTAACCTGAGGACCTCGAATCCCCTCTCAGATGTTCATTAAGCCACAAATTCCGCATGCACAGATGCAGTCACAAATATCCAGATCACCAAGGTATTGCAGATTTGTCTTTGCTCTTGTACTACAGATGGGTGATCTGAAACACTGTGGACAGGTTAAGTGTCCCAATTTAATTCCCAATAATACAAAGGGTAGGTTGGAAAGAGCTCCTCTGTACAGAAAGGCAGAAACAAGCTGAATTCTCCAAAAAGCTTTCCAGAAAACCTGGCTAAAAACATCACAATGAAAACCAAGACACACTGAAATTAAAAACCACTTGAGCCCAGGCTTCTGGGTCCTCCTTTTTACATCCTGAGAAGTCAATGACTGGGACTGCAGCACACAAAGAAGAAATATAGAGTCCCTCGGTAAGAGCCAGCACCACCAGTGCCTCAGCAGGCCACAGTTCCATGTTTTCTCTGTTCCCTCACCATAAAAGTATCCTCCAACTTCAAATTTAGAATGAAATTCAGGTGGTTAAATTCCCTGTGCTCTCGTCTGCACCTGCTCTAAAATCCTGCCTGTAGATTCAGGGTCAGCCTCAGCTCATTGCAACAGAGCTGTACCCTCCAAATCTTTCACGGTGCTTTTTCCAGCAAGTCTGTCAAAGAGCTCAGCTGAAGTATTACTTTCCTGAGCTTCCAATTCCGTATCACCATGCCTAAGCAAGCTGCTCAGCTCAACACGATTCTTGTTTCAAAGTTAGAGAGGCCAAGCCTAGCTAATCTTTCTTTATAATTCATTCCCCAAATCCCTGAATAACTTTGGTTGCCCTACACTGCTCCTTCTGCATTCTCAAATGTGCGGCACGCTTCCCATAATAAGGTAACTAAAACTGCACACAATAGCCTACGTGTTTTATTTCACATTCCCCGCTGATTAATGCTGAATGCTTCCATACAGTATATCCACATGCTTTACACTTAATGCTTCAATATATATATAGTGCAATAACCTCCTTGCTTTTACTTTACAGCTGCCAATTTGTGCAGATGGCCGTAGTGTATTAGTCACCACCAACTCTCCCCTCCTCCTCCTCCCAACAGGCTTGTTCTCGGTCAGCATTTCACATGGCATTTCCTTTCAAGGTATCTATGGCTATTTTTGGCCTGAGAGTTCCTAGTATATTAAACGCAACGAGCCACATCCTCAGCTGGTGTAAATCCGCGCCGCCCTAATTCAGCCAGCAGAGCTGTGCCAATTCACATGAGTGGAAAGAGTTCCATAAATCAGTTATCAGACCGATACATTAAGGCAGCCTATTTAAACTGCTTCTGCTTTGCTTTTATTTATTTACAGATGACCTGCAGCACGTAAGGATGATGCTCGAGCACCACAAAGCCCAGGGGTAAGCGCTGACTGACCAGGGATAAGGACAGAAGTACAGACAGGTCTGCTCACCTCGCTGTCACACCACCACTCTGACATGAACAAAAAAGCCTCCTCTATTGGTCTCCTTTTGCCTGAACAGCAATTTGTTTCAAGCCTAAAACATGCAAAGATCATTTCTATGTATGAAGGAAACAAAAGCGTAGCTAAAATTGACCCTTGCCACACCTCCCCATCCCGTACAGCTTCCTGGCTGTGACATCCTCTATTTGCTGTCCAGAAGCCAATTTTTAAGCAGCCTCTAACCTGGCTTTTCGGAGCAGGCTGCTTTCATACAAAGTCTTCCCAAACGCTTGATAATCTGGTTGAGCAGCACTCTGCATACTGTGGCTGCAGCCTAGAGACACAGGCAGAGGAGCAAGGCACGAGGGAAAAAACCTATTAGACTCTTGCCTCAGTTCCTTAATGTTGTGAGGTGAATCGGGCTGCAAGAAAAAAACCTCCTGACAACAAGATCTATTAGTGTATGGAATAATCTTCCAAGGGAAGCGATGGAAACATTGCTGCTTGGCACACAGCTAGTGTTTGTCCAGACTAGTTTTTAAATATACAATCCTGAGTTGGCAGAGGAAAAGTCTAGCCGAGGTAGTTGCTCTTATCTATCTCCATATTCCAGGATAAATCAGGTCATCTCCTTTGTTCTAGTCTAAAAATTGAGGAATGCACTTAAAACAATTCATGCAGTTTTAATCAGCTATGATCTCCCTTTTATGATCCACATGGGTTGTATCTTATTAAATTAGATATAGCTAGCTGTTTCTTTTTAATCATCAAGTTTCTTCTAATATAAGGCAGCAGCACTGTCTAGCACAGCCGGTATGAACTGGGGCTGTGAACATGTTCAGGTCTCTCTTTGGCTATGCCCCAGGCTCCCGGGCAAGTAAATAAGCCCCTCACTGCCAAAATAAGTAAATAATTTCTTTTTCTTTTTTTTTTTTTTTTTTTTCTTTAAAAAATCACTCCCTAATTTGCTTTTGTCATTCAGAGAGCCTGGGATTGACTTTCAGAGGTTATGAGTGTTTACAGCTCCAGTCAAAGTCACTAGGGGAAGGGAGCTGAGGTAAGTCCATGAAAGAGAAGGAAGGATTCAAAGACATTTAGATACCATACTAAAATATATAGCACTGTGTGATACAGAGACATGAAAAAAGGCCCAGACAGAGACAGGAGGAGTTGAAACTGGAAAGCACTGCACCCTGAAACCGAGATTGGGAATTTCAGCATGTGTTATTTCGCAAGTGTAGCTGATAGACTTGATGCACAAAACTGGAAAGCAAGACCTGCAGTTCCCTGACTGGTAACTCTCAAATTTTGCTTACAGGAGGATAGTTGGGAAAAAATAAATGGATAAAAAGGAACATTTGATATTAGTGAATTCCATCTCTGCTGGAAAATGAGGTCTTCCCTTCCATGCTCCCTGTCCAGCATCCCTCCCACAGCTGAGGGATCATGCCAGTGGCATCCATAAGGGCACTGACTGGAAGCCACTTCAACACTGCTTGTGCATCAGCCTGCTGGATAAAGTACGGAAGCACTCCTAGAAAATGGCAGTTTCCTCTCCTTTGCCTTCCTCAGGATTTTGTATGCAATCCTAGGCATGACACATGACCACATAAAAAACATTCTGAAACGTACTTAGATATTATTGTCTTTGTTTTGTACAGCAACCAGCACTATGATGTCCCCTCAGGAAGACTTGATATCCATCACCTGGCAGTACAAAGAAATCTCGTTGTGACAGATAATAACCAATTTGACTGCCTTTAAAAGTTTTGCCCCCAACAGAAGAAACTGCAGGTAGGAGGCTTTATGAAATTTTGTTCTTTTTTTTTTTTTTTCCTCCAAGAGTTCCTTGAATTCTTTGGACATAACGTGTTTAGTGACAGAAAATCATTTGAGAAGCAATAAATATGTGTTCAGATGAATGTAAAAAAAGATAAATAAGATACCGAGCAGTCACTCCAGCAACTATAAATTCAGCCATACTTTTCTTTCCGAGGCCTCTATATCAGATCTTATCTCCTGCAGGAGACTAGCTTCCCTTCCCTCAATTCCCAAACACTCATCTATTGTTTTGAAACTGAGGAGTCTGACAGCAGAACAGGCCGTCCTTTTAAGAACGTCTGATCCTAGAAAGTCCCAGTAACTCTGCTATTACTTAGAACTCATGCCACTGTTACCTAGTTCAGAGTCTGCACCATTAGCCAGTGTGACGTACAAAACTGAGTAAATGGGCTAAATGTGGTCATATTGTGACTAAAAAGGGTGTAACAGGTCAGACTATGGTCAGCCTGTAAAGGATTTGACAGAGGGCATAGATCCCTTTGAATAGTTTTCTGAAGGAGGAATAAAGAATCAAAAATAATGCCTGTTTTCTTGAGCAGTTGTTTGAAATCTTCTAATGTTGGTAGGGATTTGTGAGTTTCTTATAAATATGATAGTAATGGGATTTCATCAAATATTAAAGCAACTGAAAGCCTTTTTTGTTCTTACAGATTCTACTCTGCAGGTGCTTCTTGTGCAAAAGAATTTAATAACCTAACTGGATATTCAAAAGGACAAGTCTACTGATCCCACCCTTCCAGAAGCACGCACTGCATTTGCAAGCATTGCCTATTCGTTCATATTTTTGTATCTGGAGAACTATTGTATTTACCAAGGTATTTTCCCCCCTAAAGGTATACATATGGATCTTAAAGTTCTCTGGAAAGCCAAAGTTATTGGGGGCTTCCTGAACTACTTGTTATCACTTTGAAGCATCTGGCTCGTGGTCAGCTGTTTCACGTTACAAACTTCTACATTTGTTTCTGAAGAAATTAGCACAGCTTCCTTCAATGCTACATTCTGCAGCGGTTTTGGTTTTGATTGTAACATCTCGTTGTTCATCTTAAAATCAAAGTCATTTATGGAAGCTGCAGAATTTTAATGTTCCTCAGACTCAAAAGCATTTGTTTAACCACCACCAGACAAGGAGATGAATAGGGGAGACTGTCTGCTCTTGATTTAGTGGGACCAGATTTTTAGGAGAGCTCAACAACTAGTGCATGTCTTCAACACACTGATTCTCTTGGACAGCCTGGCTATTTATTACAGTGCTTAAATGAGAATGACGCTCATGAAAACCATGACCTTAGTGAACCGGACAGTTAGTACACACTATACATTCCTATATTTTCATCTGACACGGGTGATTTATTTGCAACTTCTACCTGCAACTTAAAAGCAGCTTTTGATTCTCATTATTTCTGCATCTCTTTTATTGTTCACCCAAAAGGCCTGCCTATACGATTGTTGAGCTATGAGCTGTTTAAGAATCGCTGCCTGGTACAAAATGATATGCAGGACAAAAACAAAGAGACAGTATCTTCTTCGGTTACTTTTGTTTAAGCCCTACACAGAGAACAGAATAGATTAAAGCAGTGGGAAAATAAGGGATCGAGCCTTATGATGTGGCATAGGGTGCTTCTTACAGCCAACCGCACTTCATTTTTCTCCGCTGATGCTTCCAAGTGGTTTTCTAGGATACCCCTGAGCAGAACTCATTGTAATAACTGGAGGAAATAAATTAATGGAGAATTACCGCAAGGTTCATCTAAGAGAAGATTTGATAAACAACACTTCCAGGCTGAGATATTCAGCGCAGCCTAAGGAATGTGGACTTTCCCACTCCCGTCGAACTGAATGGGAATCTGTACCTCTGAGTCAAGCTGGGAAGTAGCTGCCACAACCACTAAAAGCAATTTTGGGTTTCAGGTGCAACCAGAGATCAAGAAGTCCTCTTAAACTGAAAATCTCTGACAAAGAAAGAGGTGAAACAAAAAGCGTTTGACCCATCCAACTGGCATCGCTACCAGACTTAGTCTCAGCAAGCAAACTCCCAGGCAAGTTGCAATCCCTGCGCTCCCAGCCTCCATCAAGAAAATTGCACAATTGTCAGACAGAGACAAAAATGCACAACAGTGGAATCACAGCCCAAACTGCTGCAGACAGCATGAGATGTCCCCTGCGTGTGCAAGCTAGAAAGGAAGCTTATCAAAATCAGGGCAAATTAAATATTATCATGTTGCTTCTGCCTGGATTCTCCCCAGGCACAATGCCCCTTTGGCAAAGCCATACTTCACCCCTGGGCATTTTTTAATGTTGCTTTCCAGAGCAAGACTTAGGTAAACCTTAATTGGTGCATGGGTTTTAGGCTGGTTCTCTGTATGGTCAAAATGTTTTCCACTTGAAATGGTTTTGAAACCACTGCTGACACCTGTGCAGTCACATATACATCAGGCACTTCTGTGTCTTTAAAAAGCAACACACACCCCTGGCACTTTGAACCCAGATTCTACCTCATTTGTACCCATGGGATGCTGGTGAAGTCATCATGATCACACAGGATAAACGAAGGTTGAAGTTGGCCTGTTTAAATTAGGGTTTTGTTGGTTTTTCTTTTTTTTTTTTTTTTTTTTAAACCCTTGTATACTCTTCCCATTGCTAAATCTTTTACAGAGGCTACTAAGGTAGAGAGCTGCTGAGCTAATCCTCTTTGACTCCCTGCCATCCTGGCAGGTACTGCAAAGCCTAAGGTAAAGTGGAGCATCAAAAGGAAAATTAATGTCTTCTAACAGCAATTAGAGGAAATTATTTAGATATAAATCTTGTTTTATATCTTCTCATACTTGTTTTTCAATCTTCCCCCTTTGATTTTTTTTTCCTTTCAGGCTTTTCAGAAAGAAACATTTAAAATCCCTCCTGTAAACCAGTGGCATAATTAGCTGCATGTTACACCTGGTATTTTACTCTTCTACAGAGTAATTCCTTTGAGCTTTCTTTTTTTTACTAAGCCCCGAGGTCTCCCGAAACTGAATCTACTTGTTCTCTCCTCTGCTGGCCGACCGGGGTTTGAGGGGGGAACCAAAGGGGGCAGGGGCTGCAGGGTGCCCTCCCACCACCCCCTGGCTGCCGCAGCAGGGACGCGGGTGCCAGGCACACCCAGGGCCTCCAGTGGCAGGCGAACGCACCTCCCGGTCGCCCGCGCTTGGCCTAGGCCATGAAGCAATGTGTGTAACCTAATTGTACTCCGATAACATCAAACAAAGTCTCTCTGATCCAGCATCTGGCACGCCGCCATCCTATCTGGGGTCCGATCTGACAAGCTTGCCGATTGATCAAATCATTATCTGGTAGTGTAGGTGTATCGTCTAACACGAGCCAAATTCCTTCGGCTGCTGCTTCTCCTTTCTAGAGAGGATACGGCTCCAGCAGGCTCCTTCCCCCGTGGTACGTGGCTGATGGCTTCCGTAGCCTCTTGCAAACTGCAGAGTGGCTCGTGTTCACCCAGGGGACACTATGCTTTTTGCTTCCCAAATATAGAATTACTTTGCCCATAGTGTTATCATAGAGAACGTGCGAAAACAACAAGCCAGCTTTCTCAGGGGTATGGCACAACAATCCACATTTCCAGAGACAGCCAGGCACGGTGAAAACTGCTGATAGCTCCAGTTCTGCCTGAACTCGCAGCGAGCAAGAAGTGGCACTGAAACTTTTGAGCTCCCTTTCCACCTTGTTACTACTCAGGGCACGACAGGCTAGTAAAAAAAATAAAAATAAAAAATATATTTTATATATATATATATTTTTTTTTTTTACTAGCATATACATACGTATATATACATACATACATATATATATATGTATGTATACATACAATTATTGCACCTCTGCAAACCTGACCTCCACTTGCAACCTCACCCTTGACCTTAGCAAGAAGTCAAGCATTCCTCTGGAAACACATCCCTGCTACTGCTAACAAAAGACAAGACGTCACTTTTATGCTTCCCTCCTATGGCAACAGACTTCTTAAACTCTGTGCAGAAATCTGAGGGCAAGATTTCCCTCTGAGCAGGAACACCCAGTAACTACCTTTTTTGAGAACGCAGACTTGCTTGTTTATCTGGAGCTGAACAATTGCACCCAAGCCAACTAGGACTAGAAGACTGAAGATACCCATTTACACAGGAGCAAGGCTCGCACAGGCTGCAGGTCCTAGCAAGCCATCCTTCATTTCAAGCAGCTTTGCGTTTGCTCCCATCCCAAGAAGTCAAGTGGAGCACAGTGGGATCCAGCGTCTCAGCTGGTCATTTCTCAGCGCAAAGCCCGCCACACCGCAGACTCCACAGACACCATCTGCAGTTAAGCTCACCGGTGAAGCCAGTCTGTTTCCGACACGTTGCCCCCATCTAATCAGTCCCAGAGGAATAAAGATGACATAGGTGGATGTTTTTCCTAACAGCCTTTCCCCTTCCGTTTGCAATCTTCAATCTCTGAGTTAAAAGTAAGGGCAAGAGATGCTATCCTCACTTTAGCACCACCGATTTGGGGTCAGCATTTCATTTGGCCACCTTGTGGTACTTCCCGGAGTTCTATTTCAAAGTAAGCTATCCAAGGTAATTTATTTAGTTTATATGCTTTATTTTATCCACATAAATCATGAAACAAAGTCCATAGGGAACAGGCACTCTATACTTATCATAATATGTAACTTAGTTCCCCAGAGACTGAGTATGTACAGAACAGCTAATAAATGGTTCCAGAAAAAAAAAAAAAAAAAAAAAAAAAAAAAAAAAGAAAAAAAAAACTGGGTCATTAAATCTTGTTTTATATCTTCTTGTTTCCATCAAAGTATGCAGGAGTGGAAATTCTCTTTCTAAGACAGGCTCCACTTTTCAGCCAACTGGGAATAGAGCCAGCTGAAAAGAGAACCCCACATACAGCACTGACAGCTGTGCACAAAATTCATGAGCTCAAGAGACAGACTGCTGCAGAGACAGGTGTCCGAGATCTAAGTTTAGCTTGAAAGATTAAAACAGCATCTACAAAGAATGCATTTATTCTAATCCTCTCTGTGCTAGAAACTACACATGCATCACTGAAGTACACATCCTGGAAACATTTGAGATATGTCTTTCTTCCGTAGGATTTCATCCCATTGTGTTCAGGGATAAAATAGGTTACAGCATTAAGACCACAGAAATGCACAGACCCAGCAGAGAGAGGCTCCTGCTGCCCGAGGAAGGGTTGTGAGCATTTCTGATCAACGGTTACAGACGCGGTAGGGTTCAGGCTCGCATGGCCCTGACTGCTGCCCACCCTGGCAGCGAGCAACCCCACCCCAGATGTTCTCAACACAATGAAGATGTCTTATGTAAATAAGAGCTGGGAGGCAGATCAGGTGTGGCTCTTGCAAGACAAATGTGCTTGGGAATTATGTATGATTCCATGTTTAGCTGCCCTGGTATAAATCCAGGGCAGTTCTTTTGATCTTAAAGCAGCACTGCTCTAAATATACATTAAATGGAAGAACATATCCACTATCCTCAGAAGAGTCAAAGGTACAGGAGGACTCAGCCTTTCCACCTTCCCAGCATAGCCTGGGTTTGAGGAAGCCTCTCTTGCCCTCACTGGTGTAACTGGGTGAAGAATCCACAACCTTGTGACAAACCATAGATGTAGCACAGCAGATCCTGATGCCTCAAGCTTGTAGTCTAAATTAGAGACAGTCTGAGGAGGCAGGAGACCCAGTTTCTAGAGTCACAAGGAACAAAGGATGAATCACTCACTTATTTACTATCATGTGATACAGTGCAGTTGCATGTATAATTATCTATCAATATAGCTAGGAATTATCATATGCTAATGCAAAGAATTTGATAATCTGGGGGACATCAAAGTGTTGAAGTCAACAAGACAACAGGCTTAATAAACTTCACCTCCTTCCCTCAATAGAAGGGGCAGGTGCTTAGCTTTGGAATGCTACAGAGCAAAATTCCTGGGATAATAATAAAAGATTTACAGATTCTTTCCTCCCTGTGATAGAGAACATATCGAACCATAACACCAGTATTTTTAGAACAATTCTCACTCTCAAAGAAGCAAGAACAACAGAGGGCAGCTTTTTTTTTTTGTCTCCTCCACAGGGCAGACACACTATTTACAGTATTCCTCTAGATATCTCATTTCCTCACATTCAGGAAAATTCCCCAGTTCTGTTCAGGGAATGGAATTTCACTGTCATGAAAATTTGCCAATACTTGTTTAAATCAGCACTTTCACAGGGAGACAACATATCATTTCTAAAATCTCATGGCAAAGCTGCTCCTAAGGCTATCACAGAGATTATTTAGTTGGCGCCAACCGGCACAGAAATATAATATGTGGCTGGAACTGCCATGCGATTCTTGCAAGCAAAAGTAATCTCTACCCTTGCATCATCAGCTCTACCAAGCAGGTCACGGGATGGGTGCTCCAGACGGTGTGGGGGAGGACAGAAGGAGGGAGGATGTTTTTAATTTATGTATTTAACATCTCTGTAATGGGCACCTGAGAACTGAAGCCGCAGAGTAACTTCTCTGTGGCCTCTGGAGAAACCTCTTCGGGGAATTGGCTGGACAGAGAGAGGATGCAGAGGAGAAGAATGGGGCGCATGTGCAGCCGATGGATAAACTTATCTATGGGTGATCACAACCACTGAGCTTTTAATTTTGAACATCCCCACAACATGCAGAAAAGCCTCTTCCCACTGGGGAACGAATCCCCATGTGCCCACTTTCTCCATCACTCAGGATTTGCTCGTGCTCTCCCACCACTCAGCATCCCAAGCCTCACCTGAAAACGAGTACAGCCCCTGCCAAACCCCTGCGCAGTAGGGATGCACTGGCTGTCCCTCCTGTGCAGAGAGGGACATAGGGCGCACAGAGCAAGCATCTTGCCTCGGGCTTCCCCAGCACGAACATGGCAGACTTCCAGAGCACAGTGCTTTCACAGCAGGCTCGGCTTTCCACGCCGAGGAATGGTTTGGAGGGGGAGCGGTAGGGAACTCCACGGGCTGTACGTCAAAGGCTCCTCCTAGGGCTTTCCCACAAACAGATGGCAAACTGGCTCCCAGCGAGCAACTCATCACAAAATGAAAAACATCTTCCCCTTCCCTTCTCATTCAGGGCAGACTCATGTGTTAACAGTTTAGCTTTGTTTACAGGCTCCTTGGGGTTGGGCTTTTTTTTTTTTTTCTTTCCTCCTCCTTCAGATTATTGCCCTCGCACAATAGCAGACACCAAGAAAAGAAAGCAATAATGACAAAAACCATCAGTCCAACACTGAATTCACAAACACCGTTCAGGTTTCCAATAACCCAAGTGTGTTTTTTTTTATATATATATATATTTTTTTTGGCTTTGCTGAGATTGCTGGGTGATTCAAAGCCTCTTCCCTCTCCCTGGCTTGCCCCTGGGGTTCCAGGCACTCACAGCCTCTCGCCACAGCTCCAGCACGGGACAGAGCCGGGAGGTCCCAGTCCCGTGCCTGGCAGCCGCGAGACCCTCCAAGTCAAGACCACAGTGATGTATTCCAGGACAAGAAGTGGTTTCCTCAAAGGCAAGAGATTAAAATTTAAGTGAAGGAGCATTAGCATTAACTTGAAAGGGAGGAAAACCAGCCTGAGCAGAGAATCTAACATCCTTCACTCAGAGTTAAAGCCTGAAAGTCCCATCAAGAGCAAGTGGCAGTTTCTTCCTTCCAGGGCTGGGGACACCATTACCATCCTGCTCCACCCATCCCATGTCAACACAGGAAACGAGGACCCAATCTAGCAACCAGACTCATTCTTTTCTCCTCCTACTCAGTAGCATATTACAAGGCCACTAAATTGAAAGGAATGTTGATTAATTCTTGAGCTTTCAACCCTTCCCTTCCCAAGCACTGCTTCTTTATAGATTTCAAACCAGTTTGACAATATATGGTCCTTCTGGTGTACGTGTGGGTTTTGGAGCAATATTTAACAACTAAATTAGATGTATGCATAAAATATACACAAGGGTGTCTAGATATTAGGAGGGGTGTTATTACATAAAGACAAGAACAAAGACCATTTATATTACAGTTCGCAAAACCAGCACACAGATTTGTGCACAGGTACACTGGTTATAAGTGAACTAATAGCTCAGGCATTTTATGCAGCATTATTCATGACTTTCACATTAAGCCATCCATATTCTTTTAAATTCCATTTTATGTTACCCATAGTATATTTAATCTGTGCCATTTATATAGTCTTAGAGGAAGAGGTCTGCAGTTATGCTGCGGTGAAGCCTCCGTAGCGTGGCCATAGCCACGCGTGGTGCAGACCTGCATTATGCTAAGCAGGCAGCAGTGAGCGCATGCACTGAGTACGAGATCATCATTGCTTCAGACAAAGCCGAGAACAGCATTAGGCAAACAACGAGGATCATGAGCTATGTTCCTTGTAAGTAAGAAGTAGCTCACTGGCCAGAGGCCAGCGCTCT